TTCTTCAGAAAAAACAATGTGGAAGTAGCATTCAGACTACATGCCAGGTTATCTCATTTCCTTTTCAATGCCAAAGATAAGGTCAACAAGTTGGAAAAATCTGGAGTTTATAAACTTAAGTGTCCGGAGTGTAATAGTGTTTATGTGAGAAAATGCGGATGAAATTTCCAAAAACTGTATGCTGAACATGAAAGGTCCTTCAGAAAAGGAAAAAATGATTTGACGTTTTCAAACCATTCACAAGTTTCCGAATCTAAACGATACGGAAATTCTGCCCTATGCAAGGAAGGGTTGCAAAGTCAATTATTTAGAATCCTTGGAAATTCACAAGCATAAACATTGCGGGTGCAACCTGTTAAATGATCAAATCGATTTAATTTACTCTCCGGTGTTTAAATTGGCACATCCGCATTGTGAACTGTAAATTCAGGTACTCAATCAAGTATATACCAAGAATGGTATATATTGCTGAATGTAATGAATCATTGTTAGTTCATTGTATAAGTTTGAGAATGTATCTATTGCTTCTTTGTAGTAGTCGCTATTTTTTTCAAAATGGTTCCCGTGGTCTTGAAGTTCTAATAGGAACCAATGAGTTTGAGAAACCCTGGTATAGTGCATATCTCACAATAAAGTTTTACTTGAATAAGTTATGGAATTTCATCAAGCACAGCCAGATCTGAAGGTTCGGATCGTCAGTGGAGCCTCCTTTGCGAAAAAGTATCGCAATTGTACACTCTAAACTATAAAGAAACAACCAGTGGCAAATATTTTGTTCGTGGACAAAATCAAAGCTTCTTTTGACACTTGCATCAATAATTTTGCTGACAAATTATCAGCACCTAAAGAATTTTTGTTTTTTATTTCAATTCGAACTAATACCAACTCAATTGAATCAGTCTCATACAAAACCAGAGAATTTAATGGGGAGAACACCTTTTTCAAGTTATCCATAGGATTAACAGTGGATTTTATATTTTTGATTTATTGAGTGACTATTGAGTAATAATGTATGTTCAATAAATTTAAATTTATATCTACTTCGGGTTGGATTGATAATGGCCCACGTTTCTTGGTATTTATTTTCTACTTGATTTGCCCATCTATTTGTGTAATATAAATCCTTGGCAAATTTTATGGTTTTTTGGAAATAAAGTGATATTTCCATATCAGTGTCAGTACATTTTGAAGAATCTTTGAGATTTCCAGAAAGTCCTCTCTGGTTTCCATTTTTACTCTTCACGTCTATCCCTATTGAAAACACTTTTCCTTCGCTAGAACAAAAATGCTGGCTCTCCACGCGCGTTTCGCCAACCAAGTTAGCATCATCAGAAGATGATTAAATTTTGAACAATTTTGTTCTGATGAGAAAAAAGTGTTTTCAATAGATTCATTTCAGACAAAATTGTTTCTAAATACTATTTATCAACTTTTATCCCTCTTCGTATTTTTTTTTCTTTAATATACACAGTGTGACCCATTTTTAATGGAAACATCCCCCTAAAATTTGAAGTTGTAAATCGATTTTGATATATTTTTTTTAATGTTAAGTACTAAAAGGTCTACCTTGGGACAAAATTTGAAATGTTTATTAAAGTTTCAGGGCATACTACGATATTTTTTCTTAGTCGAAAATCGGGATTTTTTATTAGCGATTTTTTTATTGAAAAAAATCACTACGCCACTGGATTCAGAGTGCCTCTAAA